GCCGCAACTCCTGGAGGCTGCATTCTCTGGGCATTGCTGAATGCCAGGTTGCAGACTGATTTATGGTGGGGTGGCAATGTTTTTCCCGCTTCTGTGAGCTTCATTTCACTACAGAAATCTGAGAAAAGTGCTGTCTCCTAAGAAGTCCAGTTCCTTGAATGTATGTGTGATTCGTCCCCTTCCTTCCATTTTCTTACCGTACCTGTCTTCTCCCCCCCCCCTCACCATTCCACAAAATGAAAGCGATGTGTCACAAAACCAGTTCCAACCGGTTTGTTACCATGGCTTTTCCACTACGTGGGAAGGAATGGTTAAAAGGGTCACATGACTGGCAAAGCATGTCCCAGTCAGTCACATGGTTTTGGATGCTTGTTAGAATAGAGGAAATTAGCTATTTGTGATGATAGTTTGTCAGGGGGTGGCCCGGATGACTCCTGGCCATGTGCATTCATGATGAAAAACTTCAGAATCCCCTTCTTGCAAATACAGGAAACTTGCTTTTTTTTTTCTCTTAAATCATTTTTACTAAACGATTTTTCATATATCATAACAAGTACATTCAGAGAAAAAGATATAGTAAATGTGAAAGAGAAAAAAGAAAGGAAAAAAGACAAAAAAAGGAGATAGAAAAAAGAAAAAGAACAGAAACGAAAACATGAAAAGAAATATAAAGAAATGGCTTCCGATCTTCCTCTCAGCAATTATACATACAATTCTAATCAAACCTCTCCCTCTAAGATTACATCATAATTACCTTCTTTCTATAACCTATTCTTTCTAATCATCAAGACCACAAGTCACAAAATCATTTTCTTTTTTTATGCAAAAAGTCCATAAGGAGTTTCCAGGCATTGATGAGGAAACTTGCTTCTGACGCATCTGGACTGTTAAGTGACCAGCAATAATTCTGTTGAAAGCTGTGTCCAGGTTTCAAACGTGGAATCGCCTCCATCCAAAACTGGTGATGGCCTTTCCCAAACATTATATTTCCGGATCCGTTCAGTCTCTCTTATATTTTAGGCAAGGCAATACTCTGGTTGGCAGAAGAAAGTCTGCTTGTCTAAAGAAATTATACCTGCAAGGTTTGTGATTGTTGCTACATATTCTGACAAAAATTTTTCCTGCGCATATCCCTTTTTTCAAAGGAATTGGCTTTCATTGCATCAGTTACTTGTCAGAAATCTTAGACCAATACACTGCCACTGTGAAATTTATTTTGATTATTCCTTTCCACACTTCTCACTCATAGCAACCTAGTATTCTTCATCCCCCCGCCCGCCCGCCCACCCAATTTCACTAAAATTTAGTGTGTGATCAGAGCAAGCTTTAGTATTCTCCAGACCTTTTCTTTGGCTAAGATGATAATCAGGGATGGCAAGGGACTGGCAACATTTTTAGAATCCATATCTAACATGCAATAGATCAGACATGTCCATCCAATCAAAATAAAATTATCTAGAATCTCAAAATATTAGAGCAATTAGAGTTTTTTGCAGGAAGTTAGGGGGAAAGGGGCAAATGGCCAGTTACATATTATAGGGGGGGTGTGTGTGGAAAATCTAGCATTCTCAGAGTTTAGCATTTGTTTCCTATAAAATCTAATTTTGAGGAATTCTATACCTAGAGGTTCCACTGGATCTCTCCTAAGGGTTTGATTTGCTTCACAATGTAAAAGAAGTGAAGCGTGCTGCATGTTTGCACATCTTTCAAAGGTTTTGTTGGGCTGAAGCCCATTCAGTGTTTGAAAACATACTAATAGCATAATACATGCAAGATAGAAATGTCCTCTTTTGTAATCTTAATTTGAATCCTGTGTGCTGGGCCTTTTCCAAATGCAATTATCCATGAATCTGATGTAAGAAATAGGGAAAAAGAACACCCCCACCTCCTTCCTTCTCTTTTGATTTTGGACTTCAACTTTTCTTTTATGTTCACAGTGAAATATTATTTTATGAGAGTGCCCTCTAGAGGAATTTCTATGAACTGCTGCTTTTACCTAGAATCTCTTTAGGTCAGCTGTTGCAATCCTCTTCATAACTTCCATAAAAACTTCTTGGTATATTTTCTTGTTAGGCCCTTGGTGATGCCCCCTCTTCTCAGACTGTTCCACTGCAGAAATGTGAGGGGGGAGTCAGTTGAATCCATCAGCAGATAAGTACTGCTTATATTGACTGGCTCAAACTAAAAAAGAACCCTTTAATTAAATGTCTTTCTGCAGTTGCCTCCAGGAACCTTATAAATTATAGTATGAAGGCACGTAGATTATCTCAGTGGCACGTGGCTATCTTGTAGCTCTGAGGAAATCAAACTTCCTAGGAAGGAAGAAGAAAATCATTTTTTTTTTTTGCTAGTTTTCAAAACATAAAATAATGACAAAACATGAAAATACACTTAAAAAACACATTAAATGAAACCGTCCTTAAACTTAAAGAACAGATAATGAAAAGCAAAAAAGATAAAAATTAAAAAGAAAAGAAATCTGCCTTATATATTAAACCTCTCAATAAACACTGGTTTACTAATAAATACCATATAGTACTATAATATAATCAGTACAAAATATTATTGTAAAATATCACAAAATCTCTGCCAAAGCAGTACATGTTTCATCATTTGACTAGTAGAAAATACTGCTTTTTCCAAGATGGGTAAGTCACACATTTCCAAAAGACATTCCTTAACATCTGGAATAATATCCCCTTTCCAATTTCTCAGTATAATTCTTTTTTAGCCCCTCCCCCCCATGCTTGATCAACCATAATTCCTGATGAATAGGTTCCAAAGCTTTGGTATCTAAGTCAACATCACATTAACATCTGTAACATTTAGAGATTTTCCTATAAATCTACATATAGGCATTAAAATACCATCCCAAAAAGATACCAGATGACTACATGACCATATCATATGGGCAGATGTACCCTCCAATTTTTTAAACCTCCAACAAAGAAAATTTGATGTTCATCTTTTTCAAGTACATTCTTTGATACACTCATCAAAAAATATAATTTTTGATTCATCAAAATATAAGATGAATATTCATCAAAATATAATTTTTTGATGAATCAAAAGGGAGAAAATAACTTGGAAAGAGAAGAGATAAGAGAGGAGAGAGAGTTGAGTAGAATAAAAAGGGCAAGAAGAACAAAGGAAATAATTGTTCTGAAAACAAGCACATAACAGTACATTTTGCTGATTACTGTTTAAGCGGCCCTGATAGGGTGGGCACACTTGGGGTCCCTTCCTTGAAGCAATGCCATCTGATGGGGCATGCCTGTTCCACAATGGCACCTTCCTTTGGAATGATCCCCCCCCCCTCAGTTAGCCTCAACTCTGCTGGACTTCAGAAACTCTTTAAAAACTCCGCGATTCCCCTGGGCATTGGGGCTGGGATAAGTAGAGTTCCCATTGGGAAGGGGGTATGAATGTGAGCCAGGTAGCTTGTTATTACTTGCTGCTTTTTATCTTGGTTTTGTTGTGGTGGTGATGGTTATAAGCCACCCAAAGTCATATTGTTTCA